TATTCCTTGGTTTTCTCAGCACAGCTTGACTCTAAGGTTAATACAATCCTAGTTCGAAGCAGTGCCGTGTTCCCTGACCACATCAAACATCTACAAAAATCTACTGAAAACATGCGCCTAATCTTTGATCAGCATTTCACGCAGAAACAACACTTAAAGAAGGACAATTTTAACACAATTGCTCACACTAGCATCATAAAATGCATCCACATACAGCAAAATAAAAACACAGAATTACTGAACATTACAGTGGATATATATACATATAGTTACTACTAGGCTTAAAATAATTAAGAATACAGAAATGTGAAGTACATAAAAAAAAAGTTTTATATGCACTGAGGTTGGAAACAAGCGAGAAACAGCGGGTTAGTGTATACATGGGCACAAAATATCTCTGAACCTGACTACGTAACAGTAAGAGGGGCAAGGAAGATGGAAAGGGCAGGGAGGGAGTAAAATTTCATATGCTAGGTAGTCTTCCCCTCCGGCCCCGGACCTCGTCTGGCTGGCCGACAGCACGTATATTTGTTAACGGCCAACGAGGTAGGAGATACCTTGCTACAACTACACAGCATATAGAGGTCAACACTAAAGGGTAAATGAATCTGTGATAACATCTTGCTCAAGTTATCTATAGAGCTTGAGGGACATGCGACCTTTCCAACAGACACATCTAAGAGAAGAAAAGGCATGCGGAATAAGCCAGCCACTATTGTATGATTCCTTGACGTGTTTCACTAAATACTCAAATGAAAATAAAGAACGCATCAAAGTTTTAAACAAGAAAACTGATTAAGTTATACATTTACATTAACGGAGAAAGCATAAAGAAATTGACACGAGAATTTCATGCAAGGGCGAAAATGGAAAAGAATGTCTCACTCATACTTGCCGCAAGATTATTAAGAAATGGTACTCTGTGCAGGAAATATAAACATACGTCTACCTGATTCTTGTTCATGCAATCCATTAGGGCTCTCACCACTGATGGAGAAGGTTGAATCCTGTAAGTTCCTCTGGCCCTTGCTTGAGGGAGTGGTAAGCCGCGGTTCAGGGGCCTGTGAGGCCACCACAGTTGGCTCGTGAACAGGTGTCGGTGTGGATGGCTTGCTTTCAGCCGTACCACCAATATCATTCTCAACGTTATTTCTTGACACCGAGTTAGATACCTTCTCCTGTTCATAAAAATAAATAACATTCATGCAGACCTTTTTTCAATTTTGGAACAATATAATAATGGCATGAACAGTTCAAACACTTCACAGGGCCAAATGAAAGAAATTTGAACACAATGATCAGGTATAAATCGAACAGAACAGAGACAGAGCTATATTAGAATTTATGTCCATATGTTATACCTCCTCTCTATTTTTCACCATGTTGTACACATAAGGTGGGAAGACTGGTGTTGGGATAAAGTTTCCATGTCCTTGAACAGCTTTCAGGTCACCCTCATCCACACAAACTCTGCCATTGACAATCACGTACTCTGGGACGCCATGACATTCCATACCCTGAAAGTAATAGAGTTACTTTAAAATGCATTAAAACTTTTTTCCTGTGGGGTTATGTCCAGAGCAATGTGTTCCGAACACCAGTTAACGGACTTGATGACAATAAAGACCCATATCAGGAATGCGATCTCGGCTATTCCAGCGGACATGCTCCACAGAACATGGCAAGAGCTCGAATATCGTCTGGACGTTCTCCGTGCTACCAAGGAAGCCCACATCGAGGTCTATTGAGGTCAGTAAAAAACTTCCAGAGTTTCACTGTAATCTGCCGCAAACCGCATGTGGCTAGCTCAATTTGTTTGCTCACCACAATTTTTCAAAACCCCGAAGGGACTTTGTGGACACACTGTACAAAAAGGAAACTAATTCAAACTTTTAAATCTCAGTTGAATCTCATTAAAGAAATATATCATAATGACACTCACCTCAAAGATGTTGAAGTCAACCGCTTGATGGTGGGTTTTGGCTGAAATGATGCGGGTTTTGTTTGGGTCCCAGATAACTATGTCTGCATCAGAGCCCACAGAAATACAACCCTGGAATAATGAAAAGCAACCTATTTTACTATGATCTGTTATAACAGTTACTCTTTCCAAGCTTCAGATTCCACGTTACACTGACATTCATAAAACATAAGCAACAGCAAAAAATCAGCCAACTCATGATACCAATCATGTGAATACAGCACTTGGAAAGTTTTATAATTTTGTGCAAGATAATTGCAATTAATCCCTAAATTTCTTATCAAAATTCGTATTTCCATAATTTTCATCTTCCTATTATTCTAACATATTTAATTCCTGTTCTTGACCCTCTATTAAAAAACAACAGAAATTACAGCAAACTTTAATATAATTAATTTTTTTCCAGTGATTTATATTTTAATTCATACACTAAATTCTATCCTGTCTAGACAATAATTTCATATAGTAATTGATATCTTGGCCATTATAAAAAAGAACTGGATTATATACATATGTATATTTATATTATACACATAATGTGACTGAATTTACAGAGACCTGAATTATTTACATAAGCAGGACATTGGACATAAAACAGAATATATTCAACTGGAATGTTTAATCAATTACATATCGCTCCAATATAACACTATCAAAGAATTAACACAATTGTTAAGCTTATAAAAATATTACTTTACCGTACAATTTTGACTACGTTATTACGTCAACCATTAAAATACACAGCAATGGTGACTTCCACATTATTAGAGTCAACAGTATCTGTTTACAAGGTACGACGTCACATATACTACTATTCACATAATGCAGCACAAGTCCTTGAAATTTCTCTTACATGTCAGCATGGAAATTAAAATGTTTAAATATTACGAGTAAACTGAAGCTGATCAAAATGCCTGTGTAGTCTAATGCAATCAGATTTTGGGCCACATGACTACATACATGAATAGGCATAAATTCTGTAGTATGCAATGACGTTATGACAAAGTGTTTGTGTTATTTTGTGTAAGCTGAGGTCCTCTGGCCAAGGGGCCCTACTAAATGCGTAAAAAAATTACTTGTTTTCAAGTTAAATTTGATCTGAAATAATTCTATCCTGAAACTGTCAAAGAAGTATAAAATAAAAACAATTAAACAACAATAAATTAAAATGCACAAATACAAGTTATTTTCAAGAAAAGAGGTTAATCTGTCATGTGACAATATATTTTAATATAAAATATATTTACATTTCTCTTAAAAGTTTGCCTTGAAGTATAAAAGTATGTTTATATACCAACCTTTCTTGGGTAGATGTTAAATATTTTAGCAGCATTTGTACTGGTGATGGCCACAAATCGTGCAGGGTCCATCTTTCCTGAATGCACACCCTTCTCCCAGATAACTGACATTCGATCTTCTACGCCGTTTACGCCGTTCGGAATCTTCGAAAAATTATCCTGGCCAAGACTCTTCTGACTTGCGGTGAATGTGCAATTATCACTCCCAGTTACTTGAAGAATGTCTCTGATAAAACCATGAAAACACAAATCTGAAATAACCTATGTTCAGCCCTTCATCTCATAGTGTCATTCGCAACTAAATTATTTTATTAAATGGCAAGCTGAAAATAAAAATATTTTTAACTTAAAGCTACCTTACACTGTTGCAAACGTATAGCAGAGAACTGGAAGTACCAACATTCACTACGGGCATGTTCTGTTTTCCAAAGCATTAGATCATGCAGGGAACAATGTTATATAACAAGTCAATTGTATATGATACTGAGAGTGTATTAAATATCAAATGAATAATAGAACTGCAATAAATACTAACATTAAAATAAATGTATCACTTACTATGATTCACTATTTTTTCAGTTATACAGTTTGAATAATGCTATTTCATTCAAAGCAAGATACAAACAATACGTTTTTAAAATGTAAAAAAATTCCTTGCTGTTTGTGGGGAAAAATGACTGTAGTATGTTCACACCTGTGTAGGAAAAGTCAGTTAATAATAATCTGTGGCGTAACAGCCCTCGGAGAGCCAAAGCCGACTAGCTGGCTGCTGGCCTCACGTTCACATGCCTAAGCAGAGGTGAACGATCATCCAACCAGATATAGGGTGACGTGAGGTCAGCACGACGAACCCCCAACCATTGCTAGCTTTCCTGACCGGAGGAAATTCAGTTAAGTGATATAAATATTAGGAAAGCCAAGTATGCCATCATGCACGTGCACACACAAAATAAGAAGCAAACATGAAAGCTGAACATGAAATTTTCGTGGCGACTAAACCATATCTTCTGCCAACGATTCGAGAACTATCTCAGCTCTCATCCTCAGGGCTCGTTGCTGCAGCGAACGCGTAACAAAGGATCGGACCGGTTATCAAGCAGCCCTGAGGATGAGAGCAGAGATAGTTCTCGAAACGTCTGCAGAAGATATGGTTTAGTCGCCGTTCAGCCACCTGACGCGGCTTGTAACCCGGGGGTCTTTCATTAAAATAACTATAATTTTGATCAACACACACAAATAGGATAACAGTACATGATTTTAAGCTCTGTGAAAACTAAATTAAATTAAATCTTCTTGGGCAATCAGCCGTGCCAAATGGTTACACAAAGAAATCAACATTTTGAGAACCATCTCTGTCCCAAAATGTTGGTTTCTTTGTGTAGTCATTTGACGTGGCCAATAGACTGAGAATATTTTACTGAATCAGGATAACAAATTTCAAAAACCCTCACTCAAAGTTCCCAAAACCATGAAGTATGTATAGCACTGGTAAACCACATGCAGTACATAAAGATTGCATATTACACAGAAAGCATTTAAATGTTCAAGGCAGAGGTTAAGAAATATTACATGTTAACCATCAGCACAGAAACAATAAATACATGCAAACCAAAACTTGGCAACATGGAAATCATTCTACACTGCATGTAACTTACAAACTGAAGATCAGAGGAATCTGAAAAGCATTCTGATGACTTAAACCATGATTTTCTTTGGTATTATTACTTAGTATAAAGACAGAATATTGAGTTTTATTACATTTTAATGCATTATTGTAATGCGCTTTGTTTTGGACAATGCAGTTTGGAAGATGACCCTTATTGATCATCATTCAAGATTATTTATTTTTGTAAAAAGTTAGTAATAATATGAATGGAAACAAAAATGTTACATCTTTCAAGTGTGGGTATTGTGGGTGTACTTCGCTGTATCTACCATGAAGACTTCTTTCCAATCTTGAATTTGTAATTCGTAACACAAACACGAACAAATGATAAAGATGATGCAATGACGCAGGCACACGAAGTTCTGACTCACAACAGAAGAGGTCAAACAGCACCTCCCTCCCAGCCTCCAACTTTTCAATGGCATCCATTTGCCACAGTTAATATCATACGACAATTTTACTGATCCGGTTACTCTGAATGCATCTAGTGACGGAAATATGTTCTTAACCAACATACAGAGACTCTGACTTGTATATAATGTTATGTTTACGGTGAGATAAAGTGATGCAGATAATTTCCAGTGTTCTGAAAAAAACTGGACATTATTCAACGGCACTACAGTCTTACCAAGAGACAGACTGTGTTTATGGCACAAACTATGACCACCAATATTAATGCTGGGTAGGATCTGAGGTTCTCATGGCAATGAGCACAAAGATGGCTGTCATCTGTGTTGTAGCGCCATGTAGTGTGGTAGAAGTACTTATTGCCCTGATAATGGAAGCAGCAAAGGACCTCTGAAACACTGGTAAACTACCAAACAACATGGTTCTACAACCCAGAAGATAACCATTTCCAAATAAATGTTTGTTTCTTGAGGTATGTAAGAAGGTAAGGGTTCTGCCTGGGAACTTTAACAAATATGAAACATATTTGGTAACAAAACAGAAAATATAAAAGTCATGCCAGTTATATGACCTTCAATGGACATTAAACATAAGATACAATTTTGTGCCTTGGATGTGGAGTGACTTGGGTACAAATGCTTAAGCCGATGATAATCTATTTCTAATCGAAGCACGTAGTTCAGAGAAAAATACAGATATTACAATAAATTTAAAAAAAATGGTGTAAGAAGCTGGAATTAACTAATATACAGAGTATGAAGGTGACAGTAATTGAACATGCAAATAATCAGTAAATACACCAACGTGCTATACTAAAGGATCAAATACAGTTCACATTTTTAGGTAATGACAAAACTGGAAGCCCCTCTGCTCAAATTATGTTATCATTTGGTAGGAAACATTGTATGTTTTGATTGTAATAACTAGTTACCTGAAATCAATCAAAGCCTGCCTACATGTTTGCCATAAAAGACGTCATTTTTAACCCATATCACAAAGAAAACAAAACTTTTCCATTACAAAGATCAACAGGTTAATGCTCTTTGAGGAAGTAATCCCTGTTTACAGGGTAATACCAAACCCATAAATAAAAACTATAAGAATTACTGATTATTAAAGCGGGTGGGACAGATAGTTACCAGTGGTCTTTGATGGTTCAATCGGATTCTGTAAAAAACCTTGCTTCAAACGTACTGAGCAACAATTTCTTTGTGTGCGCCAAAGTTTTTATCATCAAAGCTTGTTGAATTTCATCATTCAAAGAATATTTTTGCGGAGCGTAAATGCATATATACAACCACTGACTAAAATTTACATGACTTGCTCTCAATGTCTTTTAAATTCCTAACCTGACTCAACTTTTGGAGGTGGTACCTACAGCTGTAGAAATTCTGCTGAGGCCCAATTACACACACACATACAATCAGTTTTCCAATCCGATCCTTATCATCCTTTCTGCAACCATCAGTCTCACCTTTTATTATTTTTCTTTTGCTTAACTGTACATAAAGAAGCAATGGCATGCAAATGATTCAATATTCCACATACAGGAAATATATTATATTCTTCTATGGCGCGACAGCCCGAAATCGAGCCTTGGTCTCCTTGGAAACCTATTATGGGCTCAATGTTTCAGTCATTATGAATGGACTAAGTCCCACAGTTTTAGGGAGTCCAAAATTGATAAGATCAATACTTTTACAACACATTTTTCATGCTTGTATAGAATCTAAATTCAGCATTTAAAGCATTCTTTTCAATACTTCTACACTGTCTCAGCGAACAAATTTTCAATACCTAAACGTATTTAGGTCTTTAGGAAAAATATTACTGATGCCTTTTCATCATATCTTATCAAGTAACTTTTTTGTTACGGGCTCATTAAAACCTATTTTTCATCACTGGCAATAACATACTCGTAGGAGGTTGGTCTGGTGTGGCATAGTAAAGATACGTCATTTTGCAAAATGCAAATATAAAATGTATCATGCAAATATAGCATTAACATGTGAACCAACTTCAATTTCATTATTAAGTTCACAAAGACAGTCACGATTACACAAATCTGATAAAAATATCCCATGCAGAATGGAGCATTTGAACTGTTTATAAATTTCATACTGCACATAAATCTATCTACATACTGCCTTGCGTTTTCCAGGTTCTAGCACTTACGAGGCAAGGAGATCCAAGAGATGATCGGGTGTATTAGAATCAGGGCGCAGAGGGGGGCTCATGACGTGTGCAGCGGCATGCTGCCAGCATCTGTTCCACTGGTGAGTCCCATCTGTTCCCAACGAAGCTGCTATTGTCTCTCCAAACACCACCTGCCCCTGACCCCGCTTCTGCTTAATCACATCCCCTGCAGACTTGCCCGTCACATGTAGCACATACAGGGGAGCATCCACCTGCATGTGCCAATATACCGACACTCAGCTCATGCTGTTAGAATGTGCTCAAAATATACGCTAGGGGTTTAAGATGAGAGTGTGGGCCTTCCTGAGAAGTATATCAGCATTATTAATCGCGACAAAATTACAAAAAAAGTATGGTAACATACGCATCTGCTGTTATTTGGAAAAGCTGCAATTAACTTCATTGCACTGAATCCTAATTCAGAAATTTATAATTATTCAGCTGTACAAGAAATTCCTTGCTAATATGGAATACATACATTCACCACCATCACCAAAATCACCGAAGTTCCACATATAATACATCCAGATAGTATACCTCACTCTCTCACGTAATCCCATCCGAGGTTTCCCAAACTAAACTGTGTATATATTTCCTTACCCACGTGTGTTCTGTCCTGATTACAAATATCTTTCTTTAATCATTATAAAAATAGCAATAGTAGATGAAGAAAAAGAAAAGGAGAGAAGAAGACCTGTTCTGCTACAGGCCAAGTAGGCATTTGGGGGGAGAGGTGATATAGCTCCCACTAATCCTCAACCTCGGCACTAGATAGGGGAGTCACGCCCTGGCAGTGCTTTACCCCTGGGAAAGAACCACGGTACCCACTGGACAAGAGGTTAGATGGGCCCCAGAGTTGGTCTGGAAACAAAGGCTAGAGGAAAAAAAATCCTCTGTCCATGTCGGGGATCAAACCCCGAACGTCCAGGCTATAGTCAGTCACTATACTGACTGAGCTACCCCGGCTCCATAGTAGATGTAAAGTAAACACAATCGGCCCTTGCGTAATTTTCTCCATTCTTCTGTTATCTCCTCCCTTGCAGTTTCAAACATTTCCTTTGGTACTTATAATCAAACACTGTGAATCAGAGTGCGAGACCAAATTTCAAGTCTACATACACAACAAGAAAAAGTACACTTTTGCGCACTTTAATCGTAAGCGTTTTAGAAAGAAAACAAGGAGCTGAAAGATTCTGAACTGAGGAGTTTGAATTTCAGTTCAAGATCACTTTTAACAGTAAGTGTATTTTTGTCGTCTGAAGATAAAAAGGTCGTGTTGAAAGGTGTCGCCGAATAAAAAAGAATTTAATATCCATTGTAATAATGAAGTAATATTGTACCAACTGCACTTTCTTATAATTTAACTTAAAGTACTATCCAGGTATTTTCCTGGGGGATAAATGAAAACCATGAAAATCCTCAATCACGTTAGCCAGTCTGTGGGCCAAGATCCGAACCTGGAACCTCCAAAGTATGAAACAGGACTGCCAATCACTCAACTGTAACATTCAGTGTCACATGATTGTAAAGGTCAGAATTAAAATTTATGAACTCAAGATATTAAGGATACCTGAAATCACAAACATCCTAAAAGAAATAAATGCTGTGGTAAAGAAGATGTCTACATAACTGAGTGATCTCTTGGCTGGTTTACAATTCACTCAAATACATTGTTACAACTGTTACGAAACTATTCACATTTATAACTCAAAACTAATACATTCTGAAAATGTATTTCCTTGAGACCAGATATAATAGTTATATTGCTTTAATATGATCATCAGGGTCTCATTTGTGAGAAGATGGCGCACCTGTGATGGCAAGACTGTCATTCAAATACGACAACCTTAAACAGACAAACCATGACATAGAAACTTGCAGAAATGCTGAAACAATGACCAAAGAGTTGCCAGTAAAATTGATACGATAGCTAACATTTATTTCTTTTATTTGATCTCATCTGTTTTGTTTATTTGTGCCAACTGAGTTTATATTTCATTTCTTTCTCTTTGGTAAAAAATATGTAAATTTAATAATGTTAAATTTTATATATGACGGAGGGACTCGAATTTTACTTACTACTATAGCTACAACTAAATTTTTATTACTTTAATTTCATACTACTATGATAATACATCAGAGCTGAAGACGAAGATGGTACGTTTCCCTGAAACGCTGGCATTAACAAATAAGTCCACACTGTACCGAAACCCAAAACGGTATTACCATCCTCACTGCCACGAAAACCTCAAATCTCACATTCATAATAACGTATATTATTTCAGCTGTATACAGTCGGTGACAAAGTGCTAATTAGATGAAGAGTCTTCTGGTATAAATTCCATTAAACATGTGGTATATTTGGTAATACAATACAGAAACTTACTGTAATCCAGAACCACAAGACATAGACATATTATGTCTAGAAACAGTTTCTGGAAATACCTATACTTAGTAAAAAATTACAAATGGCTGGAGTTTACACACCATTGCCGCAGGATATGCACTAAGCATAGCTAAAAAGTATAAAAAAACATTGGTGTGATATTTTCCTAACTCTTATCACCCCAAGAATGGATACATTCATTCACGCAAAACTTATAAGCAAACGACAAAGCTGATTTTCTGAAATGCAGTCATCGAAGCAGCAGACTACAGTGCACAGAAATAAAATGTTTGATTTACGCCATAAAAGTTGAGAAGGGTTTCAATTGCTTTTTGCAGTATTTAATTTTACCATAATAAAATGGAATACAGAAAAATCTCTTTATGACAACAGCACATTAATTGGCTCTTGTAAGAAAACTATGGCTGGTATCTGTAAGCCCTCAGCAGAATATGTAATTCACATGGATTCACTTCATACATTTGTAACAAAAGATATTGCATATCTCGTATAAGGTGTTTCCCAACACATACATCTGAATGTAAAATACACATGGAGCCTTCAAACACAACAACGTTAAACCTAGCGCACTTTTCAAAAGATAATACCTGAAGAGTCAGTCAAGACTGACCATGAACAAAAAACAGAAATGCGGAATATGCTTTGTTTTCTGTCTGAAGACTGAAAACATATGTAGCTATAACTTGAAAAATTTATAAACTGAAAAGATAGGCGATGTCTCCGCTGAAGAATGGAAGAATGACTGAGTGTTATTTTACATTTCTGTATCATAACACCATACAATTGTCATTTTCCTTGTAACCTGTTTGATATCCTAATTTTAAGGGCCCGATACTGCAGTAAGCAAGGCGGGAGTGCACGTAAAACGAGTTACACAAATAATTCTTCTATCACTAAAGAACTTCATACTCCGGCACCACGGCATAAGCACATTCAATATTTTGTAAAATAGAAACAACTATTGCATAACACCATTTACTCTGCGAAGCACTGTACAATGACTTAATCAAATTCATGAGCAATACATAGGCATTAGAGTGAAAAAGCTATTCAAAACACACCCCAATCTAAAATTCATGCAATTTAACACATTCACAAACAATAAGACAGCATTAGCTCGGTGTTAATGGGTAAACGTCAATCCCACAATCATGCAAAAAAAGTCACACATAACCTCACCTTCAACTGAGTCATACTCAACATTGATATTTTAGAGTAAACTTATGCAGTTATCTGTTTATAATAAATTAAAATGAAGTAAAAAAAAAAAGGATAAGAATATTGCATACTTCAAAGGAATTGCCCGTGTATTCACGGTACGAGACTTCATTAATTTAAAATATCTATTCCTGGGACTAAAACCAAATATAAGAAACCAACATAAATTTAGTTGTACGCATTTACTTTGTTACGAACTTCGACCTCTTCAAAGTGAACAATGCACTACTCACTTTGCCAAGAACTCCATTAGAGCGTCTGGAGTCGTGGGATCATCTCTCAGAGGGGGGCTCATCACATATCCCGCAGCATGTCTCCAGGAGGCATGCCTATGATTGCTTCCATCCGTACCCAGTGCGGCAGCTACCGTCTCTCCATAGACTTTGTAACCATTATTACGGGCTGAAGCCAACATGGCTCCTGCTGACTTACTCATCACATGCACTACATACAGTGGGCAACTTACCTATGACAAAACCATGCAAATACATGTTGTGACTAGATTAATTGCTCCCGCACTCCATTTAATTAATCAAATTATTGACAAATGAACTTCGTTAGTCAAATCACAATCTGGTTCCCATGTCTAAAAAAATCTCTACACTCAATAACACGCAGAAAAATTATAATTACAGTAGTCGGGGCACATTTGTGCATTCGTTAGTCAGAAATAAAAGGAAACGCGAACAGAGGGTTTAGAGGGGTCGCAGGTAAGGAGCTTACTGTTCAAAGTACAAACATTATTTCCCAAGACAGTACATTTTTGCTCATTGCTTCATGGATTATATAGTGCACCATACACATCTGTTTTCCTTCTACCTGCAAACTGGCATAGGTGAAACAAAGTTTGTTCTAGGGTACTTATTTTAGATTCTGTGCAACAAAAACAATGAAATTAAAATGTTAAAGTCCAAAACTAGACATTTTCTATAGTTTTCCTGTAAAATGGAGATTAGGCACAACAGAATATTAGGATTAATTGCTATGATGATGGAGGCAGCAACGACCTCGGAAACCGTGGATATCTACCAGACTACATTGTGCTACAACCCAGAATACAGCCAACTTCATATGCACCACTGTGATAACCAGTGACAATCCATAACAAAAACAAAATGAACCAATTTTTATAAAGTTAACCACCCTGCGAATAAAGCCACACATAAGCCGGAAGCTTCGTGAATCAGCCGGCTAAGAAAACTCTCTCATTTTTATCTTTACCATCCACCACGTGCACAAAATCTTTAGATTATACGCGGTTGACTTGTCCCTAAAAATCCCGTGGAAGTTCATTTGCCACATCAAATAAAAATCCGACGCATTCCTATTGTGCAAATGCGATGAAGAATGAGTCGTTATTCATTCCGTAACTAAGCCACTAAAATAAGATAAAATATAAATAAACCCAATAAAACCAAAACATCAGTTTGTCCATGCTTCAAATATAACCACATTACACTTATCAACATCAAAGCATAAAGCGGAGATACAGATGTTGAAAATTCACAATCTTAAAAATCATAAATCACTGCAAAATAGTTGAAAAGTTTAAACATATTTTAAACACGAATACCACCGAAGGTTCTCAACACGCCCAAACTAAAGAATTCATCTCGCTGCATACGTAACCAGAAGACTGCACAGCTTATATTTAAGCCTATCAAAATTCACAATGAAGAATGAATGTAGGCAAGAATCTAAGTAATGAAAGTTCTTTTACAACTTCAAAAACGACTGAACAGACGTCAACTTACAGCGTCCCTACGTATTAAATCTCTTACACAAATTTCTATGCATTTACTTTCAATAAAGCCTTAATACAAGATGACATATATATTCATCATAGTCTGTAAACTCTGGTATACCATTTTCATGGCTGAGTGGTTAGCATTCCGTGGGGTCCCAGGTTTGACTTTAGGTCAAAGACAGCCACCCTTGACTGGGCTCTCTTCAGTCTCTTCAGATCATGTTCTCAGTAAATCTTTGAGATGGTATTAAACTCTGCAATTACACACTAACTAGATGGCTTACCGAACCCGAAGGTTCATCAGCGAATTAACCAAAGTCCTTCACCGGACCCTGTCCTGGACCAACAAAATCCTGTCTCCTTCAACTCCTATCTCCGATAAATCCTGCCTGAGATTATCCTCCCATCTACGTCTAGGTCTCCCCAGCGGTCTCTTCCCCTCAGGCTTCCCAAATAGTGGCCCCAACCAACCAGATGGCTTACCGAACCCGAAGGTTCATCAGCGAATTAACCAAAGTCCTTCACCGGACCCTGTCCTGGACCAACAAAATCCTGTCTCCTTCAACTCCTATCTCCGATAAATCCTGCCTGAGATTATCCTCCCATCTACGTCTAGGTCTCCCCAGCGGTCTCTTCCCCTCAGGATTTCCGACCAACACCTGGTGCACACCTCTTACACACACGCAGAACGAAATCACAAATCTGAGCGTGTGAGTCTATTACCTGATTTGCTATGACACATGCTCTGTTAACTGCCTCCGACTCTACGTCTTCCGGACGAGACAGTGCGTGTCCTTCTGGCCCTGTTACACCTCTAGCCAGAAGCTTCTTTGTATTCTGAAACCCAACAAACATATTTCAATCTTGTTACTTTTTTCAGCATACTGTAATTTCAGTGACATTTTATCTCATAATGAACTGTAATTCCTATGTTATGTCACCGAGAAATGACCCAAAATAACATGCCTTGAAGCTACTGACAAGATTTTGGAAATAAACCTACAGGTTAAACAAAAGACACGAAAATTCTTTAAACATTTGATGCTGATGTTCGTCAAAATAATACATATAGGAATTCATCCCATACCACAAAGAAAACACCATACTTCACCATTACAAAGATCAGTGTGTCGATTCAGTTCCAAGGAAATAATTGTTGTTTACACCGAGAAACATGCAGATAAGGGTAATGACCTTGAAATATTCTGGAAGGTGCTCAAACTATTAAATATTCCACATAAAAAGAGGAATATGTTAAAAACCAAGTAGATCATGGAAAACACATGTTTAAACAATGAAACGAACCGATTCTCGAATAGTTGTGACACTGTCAAAATTCCAAAACCCATCCACATTATTCAGAAACTAAAATGTATTGACCATCCTTAATCAGAGTAGTATTTAAGAATAAAATCTAAATCAAGATTAAATTCTTGAACAGAAGAGACGTTCTGACCGGTTCGGCACTCACCTCCGCTATAATATCTCCGTTCTCGGCATGCACTTGAGCTATTGCCCCAAGTTGTTTGCAGTGATCAAACACACCGTAGAGCTCATGGTCTCGCAGCATAAAAGTGTCTTTGTATGCCATGAACATTTTAAAAGAGTTCACACCATCATTTTTACACAGCTGTTCCATCTCCTCCTTCACTCTGTCTGACCACCACGTAACGGCAACATGTAACGCATAATCGCAGCAAACTTTCTCGTCTGCTTTCTCCCTCCAGCTTCGATATGCTTCGATGAGGGATTCGCCTTTCTTCGGTATAACAAAGTCAACTGTAATCCAATAAGAGTGATTACGGTCTATTCTAAGTTACTTCAAAGTACATGACTCACATTAACCCTACTGAACAGGTTTAAAAAATACAAATATACAGTTTAAGGAAATTATATTTCTTAAAAATTCCAGTATAGGCAACAAAATGCCTCGCTTGTGAATAAGGATAATTTAAAAGCTATCGTACTTCGAGTCATAAAGAAAGCAGCGTCAAATGTAATATTTAGACCCACATTTTTTAACAGTCATTAGAAGTCAAACCAACCAAAAAAAAAAAAAGTAACAAATATCCAATTTTTGGCAATTTTGTTGATACCTGAACCTTTTCAACTACAAAGAAATTTAACTGAATCCTTAATACAGAGAAATAGTGCCTTAAATCATGAATTATCAACCTCTTTAAGGCCTATAACCACGTTCACCCTTGCCTAAAAAACTTGTAGGCCTCGAGGTTATAAGTAAAGACAATTAATTGAAACTTCGTGCCAGTTTAATAAAAAAAACTACTATAACAGCCAGGTTCGCACATTGCTACAGTTTAATTCTTTAAAAGGTTTCATTAAATTTTCTTAATGTTGGACCAACTTACTTATCATGGTAGTCCCTCCGGCCAGCGCTGCTTTAGTCCCTTGGTAGAAGTCGTCAGCGGACACCGTCCCCATGAACTCCAGCTGCATGTGTGTGTGAGGGTCAATGCCACCTGTTCAAAAACACGGCAAAGCGAAGAGAAAAAGTTTTGCAAACTTTAATTCAAAACGTGCCTAAAAAGGTAATACACTAACAATAGCCAATGTTGCTAATCATCAAACTTACCAAGTTCATACACATTATCCAACATGCTTTCTAAATTAATTTAAGAAATTCGACAAAATTATGAGGATCTCCAACACAGACTTGAGTAACAGATCAACAGCAAACATCTAAGGTCAAATTTTTTATGAGTCAAGGGGAAACAAAAAGTTACAAAAGTGAACTTCAATAAGCGTTACCTAAAACTAAATTAAGTCGGGTCCACATTTGCATATTCTTCCTTGATGTAACAGTGGACATTATTTCTGTCCGTATGCACCTGTTAAGTTCACGGAATACCCAATCCACACGAACTAACCAACCAGATGGCTTACCGAACCTGAACGTTCATCACCGTATTAACCAAAGCCCTCCACCGGACCCTGTCCTGGGCCAACAAAACCCAGTCTCCTTCAACTCCTATCTCCCATAGATTATCCTCCCATCTACGTCTAGGTCTCCCCAGAGGTCTCTTCCCCTCAGGCTTCCCAAATAGTGGACCCAACCAAGCAGATAACTTACTTAACCCGAAGGTTCATCACCGAATTAACCAAAGCCCTCCACCGGACCCTGTCCTGGGCCAACAAAATCCAGTCTCCTTCAACTCCTATCTCCCATAGATCCCGCCTCAGATTATCCTCCCATCTACGTCTAGGTCTCCCCAGCAGGCTTCCCAAATAGTGGACCCAACCAAGCAGATGGCTTACGGAACCCGAAGGTTCATTACCGAATTAACCAAAGCCCTCCACCGGACCCTGTCCTGGGCCAACGAAATCCAGTCTCCTTCAACTCCTATCTCCCACAGATCCCGCCTGAGATTATCCTCCCATCTACGTCTAGGTCCAGAAATGAATATTGAAATCCTGTGTTGCATTATGTTAGGTTATGGCAGAATCTGCAGGTGTGGACTTGGCATTACAGTGCAGTTTACATTTACATTACAACTATTTGAAGAGACGAATAAAAATTGAATAAAATTTGTATGATTTGAGGTTTTCACAGTGGTGAGTCTGAAGATTTCTGTCTTCTGGGTTGTTGCGCTGTGTAGTCTGGTCAATGTTCATCGCCCTGATGACGGAGGAAGTATGACCTCTGAAACGTCGGTAAACGTCTACCATACTACACGGCGCAATAACCCAGAAGACAGATATCTGAATAAAATTTGTTCTCACAGAAAATTGTAATAACATAGTTGTGTATTTATTTAAAAACACAGCTCTTGATAAACTACTTCTCTTACTTTCCATATTAGGATTCAACAGTCATGCCTTCTATAACCATGAAACATGAAGAAAGAACACTGATGAAAGATTCTTGGGTTACAAGCCACGTTAAACAACATAATTTTGTAATTTGGAAGCAAAACAGCATTTGGTGCAGATAAATTATATTCTATAGATTACCTGGGATGACATATTTTCCTCTAGCATCTATAACTCTTGTTCCTCCAGGAATTATTAAGTTTCGGCCCACTTGCCTGTAAATCAGAACACAAATTGACAATTCCATGTTCGTGATAATAATTTCTGTTGCAAAGTTCTAGACAGTGCAACCACAAAGCAATAAATTTTAATACACTAGAACAAGGCGCTCCTTTCGGAGCGCTTTCTCTAAAATAAAAACAGATCATAAAGTCAGTTTTCGTAATCGTAATATATGTTCTATACAGTATTTGTTAAATAGTTCTGATGTTTTAGTTCTATACGTCGCTGTTCAGAGGTCAACTGTTCTTGGTCAGTCAACTCTCTACGCCCAATCCCACCCTTGCAAATCTTCGTCTGTTTTTTTTTGTCGTATTACTAATTACATTTTAATGTATCCTAGTTTTAACTGGAATAAGAAACTTACAAATTCTTTTAAAATATGTGTAATAAGCTTTGAAAAAATTACAAAACTTTAAATCTGCTGCTATTCTCCTATTATCAGTGTTATTATCACAATCACCATCACTAACACTACAAACCGTTCATCCATCACTGATACATTATCTGACCAAGTACATAACTTCGGCGGGAGTAAATAAATAGATTGATAATGCCAATTACTTTAAATTATAAACAGATAACAACACAATTCCTTCATATGATCAGAAGAGTGAACACTGTAGAATAAAACTACCCAGGTTGTACGTGACCAATGCCCGATCTCACGACTTACTGCCTCTGAAAATGCATATAAGAAATGCCAACATCAGACTTTTTCACCGAATACAAGACACAGTGTTCGTGCATGTGCACGTACGTCACAAGGCCCCACCCCTCCCACGCTCGTTATATATCTCCTCGCAACGTCCGAATTAAGCCAAGAGAACAAATTGAATTATAATGAACACAGGGGAAACGCTAAATACCTTCGGGAAAACAGAAGAAGGCGCAAATTTACATTTCCTCAGTACCTGGAGAAAAACCAAGATAAAAATGTACTTACTTAACAACACCATCTTCTACGTAGACATCATTATCTACCATTCCATCCTCATTCACAACCTTGCCGTTCTTAATTAGCAGTCTGTTCTGCGCACTCTGTAAACAAGAGAAATAAATTTAAATTATCATGTGCGCATGTTTACAAATACGCTTTATCACAATCCAAACAGTTCTTCCATCAATTTACGTAACGTTTCTCGGTAGATTAGACTATAACTTACATAGTAGCAGATAAGTTTCACTTATTTGAGGAAAAAAACCTTTAAATAATGTCATGATTATTTAAGATTGCAATGAACACTCATCACCCTGATGATGGAGGCAACAAGGACCTCTGAAACGCCGGTAAACTTCTACCAGACTATAAGACGCAACAAATCAGAACACAGCCATTTTCAAAATCACCACCGTGATAACCTCAAATCCTACAAAGTCATTATTATATTTATATTCATCAACATAAATAGAAAAAAGTAAAAGTATTTTTACTATTTTTACCATTCCCTATTTTACTACAAGGTTTTGGTTTTGACCATAAAGAAACCACTGAAACCCACAGCAACATTAACGGGTCACCCCAAATGTGAAAAGGGACATACAACCACACGTCATGTTTTTTTCCATATTAAGTTGGTACTTGTAAAAAAATTGCTTAGCTGAATCTCTGGCACAAAATGTTAATAAACTACGAATGTATAAAAATTACATGCTTGCCAACTAATCTTGGGGAAATATAAAGTGTTTGTTGTGTTTTGCAAATGATTTTTCGATTATTAAAATGCTGCGAGTCACAATGGGCCGAGGAGCCATGTGTTGAAAGCTACTCTGGGTATATAATAACACCACAAACGACACATTACCCCCCACATACCTAAAACGTAAAGTTTATTTTCACTACTTCAATAATCTTCTGTTTAAACCTAAATCCAGTTATTGAGGTTATACGGAAGTAATTAGCCGGGTTTAATGCGATTCTTTGCTGTGTAAATATATCGCATGTTGTTCGATTGTATCGATAATGGCAGAGCATACAAGGGAGACAGATTTGAGATGAAGCACGTGATTCAACCCTCTGCCGACAGGCGGGCGCCACGTGTCCAGTGGAGTGAGGGTGCGGCCCAAGACTCAGACTCCAGCTGAACAGTCGATCAATACAGAACACTCGCTCAGTTGTATTGCAGATAGTCTATGACTTTCGTACCAGGAGCAGCTGCGCAAATTTTCAAACTGCATCACGTATATAAAAGGAAGAGTGTCGAGCAACATGAAGCATTAACTTCTCTTACCGCAATTACACTTCTGGAGGGGAGAGGGGGGGTATAAAATAAACTATTCTGGAAGTCAATTCGACTTCCTGAAATCTGAAATAAGAAAGTACCAACACTAAATTAGATGAGAATTTTATTTAATATTTTACTGCCCTAATCATACGCTTTCTACCAATTATCGAATACGACTGTCTTTAGCATATTTTTATACAGAACGCTGTTGGCGTAAAACAAACAGCACGTTAATACGTAAAGAACGACTGAAAATCTCAAGTGTATAAAACCAAATACTGACGTTAGCAAAATAGATACAAATGGGGGGAAAAGGCGAATATTTAAAAACGGCGAATGGTGTACAGAACAGTAATTAATGTACGTCTACTGTTAACCACTAACCGAGCTTAATAAAAGTTTTAAAAATAAAAAGAATTATTAGTAACTGACTTTCTTTCTATTGGCAAGTTCTCATTTTATGTCGTATTTCAAGGTTAGGTTCGGTTGGCTGGTGGGAAATGCGGGATTTAGGTGTGGAATGATCCGAGGGCGAGGAGTCCTATAAACCCGTTCTGCGACAAACATGAAATGGCAGGGAAGTACCCTACCGCATTTTTACAAAATTAATTAGTAATGTACGTCTCCATAAATAAAAATATCAGAAAGAAGTCGCTGCTGGGGCCTGCACATCTGCAAGTCGGCAATCGTCGACAAAGTTATTTTAATCCCTGCAAAGAACAACCTAACCTAACAATAAGGATTTATGAAAGGGTCACTACGTGGTAACTTTTCTTTCATATTTTGCCAGGAAACGGGTGGAATTTGCCAGGGAAAGGGTAAAAAGACGTTATCTTATTTCAAATGCCTCCGCGGGCCTACCCTACAACCATATTTCCCAAAGATCCATTTTAATATTATCTATCCGAGTGATTTCTTCAATTCAGACCACCTAACCAAAATTTTGTAAGCATTTTTCATGTCCCCATGCGTTACATGCCCCGCTAATATCACTGTTCAAAAATGTCCTTAACCAGCGAAAGACAAATACACATACACACAATACCTAAATGATATTTAAAACCTCAGTCCCTACCACAAACACAAAAAACGAGGCTCCATTTCAAAGATGTTATTTATTTATTCTCGAGTTTATTCAATGTAAACTTTTAATATGCATAGGTTAAGTATAATTGATCGGCAGCATGATTTATGAACTGGAAAAAGAGCGTGGAAGCGGTCGTGGCATATTAGAAGAAACTATCCCATAAACCTGTCTGCAGAAAACGTCGAAAAACCTTTACTCAGGAGACAGCCGAGACTGACATCTTGTAGCAGCTAAGCAAACGAACGCTTCAAGTTATTATGACACGCACGCATGCGTAGAGTGAAACGGATATCGTGCTTAAAACGCGGGGTAACACACTTCCTGTTCCACTTGAAAGTCCGTGGGGTCACCCGCCATCTCAGATCTAGAAGGCACAAGGCGCTGTGAGGTCAATCCTCATGCCGGGTGCAGTGACCACGAGCTGAATACACTACAATGGTGGGCTGGGTCTGCAGAAAAAGATCCCTTGTTATTCTCAGACCATATGGTAGACTACGTCTGCACTATTATTCCCGTATTATTCTTACGGAAGACTGGGGATCCTTATAGACAGGCAGGCCTGCATTTATCTTAAAATGCCCCCAAAACCCCAATAGTAAAGGTTACAAGGTCCATAGAATAACGTCCTTGTAAGTCTAACACAGTACACTCATTGTAGGCTTAGAAAGAAAATCCAGACTTTTGTAGAACCAAATGATTCACTGTCGTTTTAACAACAGCCAGCTAAAGAAGTCTGATGCCTTCGGTTGGCGCGAAGTTGTTAGCCCCTCCCCCCTTCTTCCAGACTGGAAGGCTACCTCATGAATATTCGCAGCTGCTGTCTATATCTGAAGGCCTTCTCCACACCCACTGGTGATGGGTCCGACCAGTTCATTAGTCGATACCCGGCACCACATAACTCACGGATTTAATCTGTAGGATTTGAAGATGGCTGTCTTTACTTAATTTCTATTGTGACGGTGTCACTTCAAATTTGATTTTGTCAATTTTAATTTACAAGCGTCAAATCTTTCTCTGCGGAACAGAATTTTACGAGAACCCGAATTTGTAAATTGTAGTTAATAAGTTCATACTTTTCGTGGAATATGTCTCTTGTCGTAATTTCACCAAAGATATTTTTGCGGTGTGGGGCAGTCACCAAGGTCCCAAGTTTTATCTAAGAATGATTTAGTACTATCGAAATTTTACTGTAAATAACTTTGCCGGAGGACATACAATGGTAGCTAGTTCTTATTCATTAACTATCTATATCCCACATTTCTCAATATTATTCAGATAAATAACAACCAAAACGGATGTGATATTAATTTACGAAATATATTAAATATTGCATACTTTAAGCACGAAGTTGTGAACAAAATAAATTATTGTTGAAATGTAGTTTCGTATAAACACTTCAGTAACAATGTGTACAGTTGGTACGGTTCAGACTACGAGCAACGCTTTTCAGCTGTTACCTGACTGACTAGTTTATTATCTGTGCTGCATTCTGTCCTTTTCGTCTCTGACGCGTTGGCAGTGGACAGGTGTGTGACACTGCATTACAGAACTGTAAAACACGGCGCAGTGCGGTAGATAGCTCATGAAAGAACAACTCGTTATTTAGAATCGGTGGAGGAGCAAGGCATTCCTTTAGAACGGCTACCAACAGTAACCCACGAGCGTGACTAGGTTATTACCCCAGAGTTTTCTACAAGAGACTGGCAAATACAAACAAATGCGTCTCGCCACCCGAACTCGGTACATTCTCAGTACAAAGCGGCCGTTGTTAACCACTCAACCGGGGTCAATGTTAAAAATTGCCAGTTGACGAACGCGGCGTGGATATGCGTTATGGGGGGTGGGTAAAGAAACAAACGAGAATCGGGTGTCCAAGGTCGGGCAGTTCATCACAGCAACTTAACAGTTTATTTACACTACATAAGTCGCGTGTTGAAGGCCACGGGAAAATGGCGGGTATGACATAAAAATCCAACAACAGACAAACCCAACGCTTCAAAATCACATGGAGTGCCTCACGCTTCGAATGTCAACTTCGAGGACGCGGGTTCAAAACATTTACAACGTCACAACAAACAATATCTAAGTATTAATTACAACGCTGACAAATTTTGGGATCATAACCTCACTCTTCCGACCATATTTTATCAGGTAAACAGTTTTACAAAGATTTGTGAATGCTTCAAATTCATCTTTCGGATGCAATCCACCGCCAAACTCGTTATCCAGACCTTATTTCCGTGGTTTACAATATCCTACAATGATGCTAACGAACCTCAATTGTCAAAAACATTTTACTTGAAATTTTTATGCATAGACGGCCGAAGTCATTATGTTGACGAAAACTTTACCACTTTAGGTACGCATATTGGAAAAGTTGTAAATCAAATCAATTTTTATAGTGGGAGATGTTTACATAGTGTTTATATTGTTGGATACTGTCACCAATAATACGCTAGTTAATTAGAGTGCAATATTTTAATTACAACTTTTAAAAAATGACGTGTTTTGCCGAAGTGTTTTAATAATGGACAGCATGGCAAAGGAAGATAAGTAACCCTCCCTGTTACCAGACGAATTTAAATAAAAATGTTATCAACAGGGGAAGTGTAAACATCAAGGAAAACACCGGAGGCAAGAAAACACGGCCTGCTTGCAGGGTATATTTACCGCGTTTTATCTTACCATTTTTGACTTACTAAGTTGTCAGAACAATTAAACATGTAGCT